TAAATTAATGTTAATTTTACGTTTCTATTTGTATTTTTGCTATATTTGTTGTCTAGTAAAGTCAAAATATCGTTTTCATCAACGTTTACAAAATGTCCGTCTTCAATGTTTTTTGTGACGCCATGAAACTTTTTTTCAAAAGTAGCGGTCAACAGTACCTAGTAGCAGTCAACAGTACGTATCGTTGACCGCTTATCAACCAATCAGAATCGAGTATTTCAGTTGAGGTACTAGCAATACCAATTGACTCCTAGATCTGAGTGAACAAGTACCTCGTATTTTTCATTTTTCGATATTTTGAGATTTGTTGGCTGATGAGTAACTTGATATTTTATGTCTAAATATATTAAAGTGGTTAATAGTAATAGTTTTATTGTACACCATAAACTGTTAACGTTTTAGAATTGGGACACAATATATGATTTGATAATAGAACAATACATATTGTATATGTCTAAACTCGGTGGTTTGTTTGTTAGTTTGTTTTCTTAACAGCTCAATAACTGTTGTATTAATAAGGCGTTATATTATGAAAAAAAGATTGAACGATGTAGGCATGGGCAGAGGGAGTATCACACTACCCTACCACGTAAACACATGCATTTAAAAAGAATACAGGGTACAGTTAAGTTGCAAATAGAGCGGGTATTCTCTACCCTTTTTCATAGGACTTTCTGGTGATAATACGTTGCAAACTGCTCGATGAATCTATACAATGTAAAATCTAGTATTCCTTCAGAACTATGGAAATAAACAAAGGTCCTCCATTTGCAACTTCACTGTAGCCTGTATTCCTTTTAAAGAAATACGGGCTACAGTATTGGGGTATAGTAGTTTGATTTTTCAATATATCACTAATCTAGCTTCTTTCCTTGAAAAAACATGAGTTTTGATGTACGTATATTAAGCTTATAAACTTGCTGATCATATGATTTTAATATTTTAATACTACATGATACTCATATCAAAATACCAATGTATTTGTGAACAACTCTTAAGTTTGATATTGTACGAATTTTATGATTTGCAGTAGTAGTCGTAAATGCAACATATATTAACAATGTTATGTTACTTTGTGTCATATGAAAAATAAATTCGTACAAAAGTGAGTTTTATTTCGTTTGTTATTCAATGTAGAATACACGTTGTACATTATTTCGTGTAGGATATTGACAATAATCAGACTATCGTATTACAATACAGTTCTATGTTGAGATTGACATGCGTAAAGGTATCAATATTTTATCTAGTATTTCATTTTATCTCTCCCATCCCATCCCACCCGCTCATCAGGAATCCCCAGGAAATTCGTTCGGTGCTTTTAAATGTTAATAGTTCGGTTGAGTTTTAAAAATAAATCTTAAGCACTTTATTTTTATTTTCTGCCGTTTTAGCCATTGTTCACTTTTGAGCAACACCATGTGAGCCCAGTACCCACGGTAATAATTAAGGGATGAGTGACAAAGGGATGTTAAAAACAGGTGGCTATTGCAATTGATATTTTAATGTAACTTTAGTATGTAAGAATCTTTTCATCAATAAAAATAACATCTTAGATATTACAGCTACATGTACAATGTGAGTGTATTTAAAAATGTAGTACATAGCTAGTTCCATCTATAAAGATGTCTGATGACAAAAAGCTCAATTTTCCTTGATGTCATGGTCAATGGGACTTTAACACGTGAACTAATGTTTTTTATTTTTTCGTTTTAAAGTCACTTATAGCAAACCTAATCTAACAATTATCTCACTATATGCTTATGACATATTCATGTATACGTTGTTTGTCTTTTTTCAAATCAACCCACGGAAATATCCAATACATCAAGTTAAAAAAGTGGTACGAATCATAAAAGCCACGTTGGGTGGTTTACTAGTAATTTTTATATGAAAAATCTAGAAATATTACCCAAATTAAACTATGACTATTCAAAAGAAGACATTCAAATCTATATTATGTAAAAAAAATCAAATTTGTCCGAAGCAGGGATAACGCTCAATGGTCCTTTTTCCATATAGCTTTGAAATCTCGTTAAGGTCTTGTTTTTAATGAGATTTTAGGAGATCTGCATTTTTAACCATTAAAAACTAGTGTTTTCTTCCATCTGATGGCATATTTGAATTCTGTGAGTAATTCTCTATCAAAACAACTTTGATTTGCACTGTTATTTACCATTATTCAAATTCTAATGATTTACTGGTCGTCTAAAAAAGGTCGGGCTAAATCCCCATTGACACAATGCTGAAAAACCTTAAAAAGTTCATTTACTCTTCCAAGGATCACAATTTTAATGTGAAATCACAATCCACATGTCAATAAGATCATAAAGTTACATCCCAATGATGTTTTAAGTTGATCCAAATGGAATTACTTCTTAAATCAAGAAATTAAGTGACTCTGGCAATACATTTACATGTATTCTAGCCCTACCCAAGCTCTACCAATACCCATGATGCCATCTATTTTTCATTTATATGGAAAAGGTCAATTAGAGTGACGAACTTCGTTCTCCAAATCGAGAATGGTCTTTTATGCTGACGATAATTTTTTACTTAAATATGTAAATGTACACCACTGTTTTATTTTAGCTCATTCAAATGTGCATTGGTTGTAAAGTTTATAGATGTAGCCTTTCGTGGTAATGTGTAACAAGCACATTTTATATGACAGTATGACCCATCTTCTTGTGATTAACAAATTCAACCAATGTTCCACTTTTTGAACCACCCTGTACTCTTCCTTTTATATTTGTGAACCCCTTGAATCATTGTAATCAAAATGCAAGAGCAGAACTATATTTTGTGTAAGATTTTAGAATGTATTTATTCACTGAAGATAAATAACACTAAGGTACAAAAACTCATACATTTTTATCTACAATTCTTACTTCAGCACTACTAAGAATAAAACTAAATTTACAATACAACTGACAGTGACAGCAATATATACAGGTCATACAAAATTATAGATAGTAAGTTAGTCATTTAAAAAACAATCATTCAAAACAGAGGGCATATTATATCTCTTTGTTCACATAACAACATTTTAAATAGTGGTTCATTTCTAAGAAGACACTAAAATACCCCAAAATATTGAAAATCTATAACAATTTCTTACTTACAGCATCAATGGACTTTGATAGAAACTTATTTTTGTAATATTGTAACGACCAGGGATTATTATTACCCCATGTGGGAATTGAACCAAGGACCCTCCGGTCACAAGACTGACACTTTACTACTTAGCTAAAGGGGCTACCCACTACAGCCAAGACTGTATATATATATATAACGACTTGCTATCAAAGAGTCATTACAATATCAAGGATTGAAAAAGTCCTCAATTTTTCAAACTGATACATGCAGAACAAAGATCCATCTCAAAATCTGTTGATGTTGTGAGTTCTTGTGCGTTATACTTGGGTGTATTTTAGGATCAATTGTTGAGATAAATTTACATATACATTTGTACATTATATTCAATGTATATAAAAAGTTACAAAATCAGTTGGAAAATTCAATCATAATTACATTTTTCCTACGTCCAAATGTAGCAACAACAATACAAATCTTTAAACTTTTGTTCCATAAATAGGCTATTTTTTTTATTTTCAAGATAATTTCCCCTTACCTTATCCAAAACGTTTATTTTCAATAAAATTCAAAAGTAAAACATACATTTATGATGAGGCTTAAACAACTTTGTTCTTTATGTATTGGTCTTGTATTACACATTATATTAATAATATTAATTAACAAGGCATTAATATGTCACCACCTTGTAAGTCATTGCAAATGATAAGAATTTGTTACAGATGCTGAAAGCCAACCACCAAATGCCATCCACAAAAAAAGTTGGAGACATTAAGCATTGTTCTGAAGAACACAAACATTGAGATGTGTAAAATTATGGTCCCCTGGAACTATTTTTTGCCCTTGATGTCCATTTCTTTCCTAATTCACTGGTGATCCACTCGATTACGCTGGTTACCAAAACGAACCGTTTTGGTAACAAAATGTCGGAACGTCGAAGGCACGATTTTTCTTTTTTCCTTATTTCATGCGATGTAGGCAGAATCCCCACGACGTTTTTTCTAAGAACGTGCATCAGTATCATATGTTTTAGAAAATGTACATGTTTGTGAAAAAAATAGCTCAGAAGACAACAGAATCGTCGATTTACTTCCTCACTTAAGTTACATAAACGGTTTTTCGAAAAACAGTTAAGATCTGCACTTTTAACCGAAACCGTTTATGTAACTTAAGTGAGGAAGTAAATCGATGATTCTGTTGTCTTCTGGACTATTTGTTCCCAAATATGTACAATTTCTTGAACATATGATACTGATACACGTTTGTGTTAAAAAATGTCGCGGGAATTCTGCCTACAACGTGTAAAATAAGGAAACGAGAAAAATCGTACCTTCGATGTTCCGACATTTTGTGACCAAAACGGCTCGTTTTGGTAACCAGCGTAATCGAGTGGATCACCAGTGTAATTGAGCTTGGAGGTACATTATACAAGAAAAATATTTTAGCTTCAATGAAATAGGTCCCTGTATAAATGAGGGAGCTAATAATACCAGGGGTCAGAATATTACATATCCAAGTTAAGTTGTATCAATGTGTACCTACATTGTATTAATGAGCGTGTTATCCTTCTATTAACAATAAAAATATTGTTTCAACAATTGTTAAATAATATTGATATTATATGTGTTGTTAGTGACAAGCACGCCATCTATTGTCTATTATCTGTATTTTTTGTCAGAATGCATGTAGAGCTAACACATGCAACTTTATCGATCACAGTGCCCTGCACCAAAAAGAAACTCTAAATAAGGTGACTGGCCTTTGTTAGTAAAGGAATTGACAGGTTGCACTGAGGAATTTAGCAATACTGTCAATAATTCAACCTTTTTTGTTTTCATTGTTTAAAATTAGGCTCTCGTCCATTGAAACCGCTGATTTATTGTGGCTGCGTGACAGATGACAGTATATTGAACTATTAAGTACTTCTTCAAAAGAGTACTTTATCAGTCAAATAAGTACATCAGTGTAAATGAACTCGTTTTTTCTGATAAGTATGCTCAGCTCAGACATATTAGGGAGCATGTCAAAACACAAATGTTTATCAAAAAGTGAATTAATATCAAGAACTGAATTCATTCCTCCAACCTCACAGACAATATATAATTCTCTGTGGAGGACCAATCCTTTACCATGTTAACAGTCATTTTTAGATCAAGATTAATCAGAAAACACAGTTCAGAAAAAAAAATTCTGGAGAAATGTCAGATCCCTAAAATCTAATTCCTACTGCTTAATTATTCACAAAAACAGTGTGTAAAAGATACACCCTCAATTGTCTCACAAACACTTTTTGCATGATCCCTAAAAAGTTCCTAGCTATCATAAAATGCAGTGTCATTGTTGATATTCCAAAGATTCATAATGGCAATATAGAACAAACATAAAGGACACACTAAATTCAAGGTTAATGTAGAATCAAAGATTTAACAAAGATTTGCTAAATATTCATTTACTCATTTGCTATGTTATAGTTTAAACATTTTCTGATAATCACATGTTCACACAGAGGACAGGACAGTACAAAGGTGATTGTAGACTGTAGACCAAACGTGTCTGTAAATCAATCATTTTGTAAGCCTGTAACACTAAATATCTAATAGTATACAGTCCACTGCACAGTCCCTGTTTTTTGTGTCTTTGCTTGAGAGTACACAGAGGTTTTACTAATACAAAGTATTGTTACACAAACTGGTAGTTATCTCTTGCCAGGGATTTCGGTTTTGTTGTGATAGCATTTGTGTTAGAGTCAGCATACGTACGATACCAGTCCGTTTTATCTGGCCTACACAGACCCAGACACCGCCATCCCAAAATATCAATGAGATTCTGTATCACTCCTCGACTGAAAACAGAAAATACATGTGCATGTTAAGGAATGTATGGCACGACAATTCAATTTTTTATAAGAATTTTCTCATTGTTTTGAGTTCTTATTCAGAAATCATCCAACTTTTAAAGGCTCTTATCTAACTCCACTCACCATGTTAATTAAAAAAAAAAATTATTTTGGGAATTTATCCTCTTTACCTTTAACAAAGAGGTTTTAGGATAATAAGCATAAAGGCAATAATATGACGCAGAAATAATGTACTGATAACTAAGCAAAAATTTGTGCCTCAATCAAATTCATGAAATAGAGGACTAACATTCTGATACTGTACTCATCACAACTCTGTTTTCTAGTGATTAAATATGCTCCTATTTAGTTTGGCATAAAGGATTGATATCGATATGGCAAACTGAATTGTTTTTCTCTTAAACCAATTATTGAAAACATTCTATAAAACATGGTCTTTTATATAATGGTCACTGATTGACAACAATTTAATCCGAAAACTATTTAAATACTAGTGTATTTAATGAGTTCTAATGATTTTTTTGATGAGGTCCTTAACTTAGATGAAATTTTCAGGAATTTAGTAAGTAGACATGAAGTTTATAATTAATAAAAAAAATATACAGCTTAGCTGAAAAGTAACAGCTGCTGCCATTTTGCTAAACCTGCATCAGCATCAAGCACAGAATTCACTTATATCATATTGCAACTGTGGTAAAAAGTTTTTCAAAAACATTTCATGTTACTTATGTTATGTCTTAACACCTAGTTATGTTTTTACACAAGTATGTTATGTCTTTTTGACCTAATAAATAGTATATTTTAGGGCTTTCTGACAGTTATTGTTCTATATTGTTTTTACAAATGCTGAATACTCTCTTGTAAGTTAGATTACTCTTTATTCTACAATACATTAAGCCTTAAAAACTCAATGTATTTTTTGGAATCTTGTAACTATGACAACTTATAAAATGGGACTTAAAAACCTGTTCATTCTGAAAGAGTATATCATATGCTTTAAAATGATATATAACACTATATATGTATGCCAATGTATACACTTCATATATTATTTCAGAGGTACCATATATGGCAATTTTCAAAAATTCGTCAGTATTTTAGTGCTTTTTGGCCCAGTATTGAATGAGGTAAGGAAAAAAGCTGGTACATAATCATCTATATCAATATCAACCAGTAATACCCCCCCCCCCCTTTGATGTATAGCAATTGTGGAAACCTTCACATCCTGTGTTTCAAATTATAGTTAGAGTCCACCTCACAGTCATTTGTATTCAATCCTATTCAGAACTTATAGCAAATCAGGTAATGTCCACAGGATTTCGTGAGCATGATACATCTGATCTTGAAACAGAAAATCCATTGTTTGAGATGAGCTCTGTTGCACCAGGATGTGTCTTATCCAGGTTGAGAAGGGTGAGAAATTGGTAACAGTGAAATCTGGCATAATTTTGATGGTCCATGGCAAAGAATGCACTATTCATGGCTGAGTGTGCTCCAATGTGGAGGTTGAGATCATTTTCCTTTGTGGCACGGATATACTGAAGTGCAGTGCCAACCATATCAAAATCTAAAATAAGTTCCCTATCTTTTTATTATAGTATTTAGTCAACTCTTTCTTGAAAATAGATTTTCTCCTTATAACACGCTTTGGACATATCACCCTTGGGTGTTACAAAATGAAAACGTTTGATTTGAAGACAATAAAACCGTATATTGAATTTTGCGCCACTTCAAAAAATTGTGATGTCACAAGGATATGTCATCCTTGTTACAAAAATGTTTTCTAAAATTGATAACTTTGTCTCCTACAAATATGTTCTAAATATGCTAAATTTCTAATAAAAGCAATTTTGTTGGCCTATCTAAGCTGAAAATAAGATTCCTGAAATTGTGATGACACAAACTGGAACACTCACGAGAACAAACACGCCATCAACGTGAAAAAAGTTCTGTGTTGCAGATATGCTAACAAAAAATCATGCAGTGCTACTTACTCCTTATCTCTATTGAACTTCAGACATGGTAACCTACATGTCAAATGTCAAGTCTGGCAAACTGTAAGTGATTACTAAAGACCACTCAATATTTTACGACATACCCTTTGGTCCAAAGAAATATGTACATCAAAGATATATGTGCGTCAACATGGAATGCCAATAAATTTTGGTATTAGTGATTATATAAGTTCAATATTTTAGTATCAATTATTCAAGCAGATATCATCACAGTTAGATAAGTTGATATTGAAAGATGGATTACACAGGACTTTTGATATCAGTCATACTCTGTTCATCTCTTTGTGAATGTGGAAACATTCTCGTTGTACCGGTGGATTTTGGCTATAACAGCAGAATGAGGAATGTGATAAACATTGGAAGAGTTTTGCTGAATGCAGGACACAATGTAACCATCTTGCTCTCTGACAAGATTGAACATGATGCAATGTTTAAATTAGGTGAGCCAAATAATATGGACAAAACATTCAATGTCATGCATTTCAAGAAACCGTCTGTAGATCCATCCAAAGACATGAATTCTTTGAATCAGGAATTTATAAACAGTATGATGAGGTTTGGTGGGGTGGATGTGCTGGACTCAGTACAACTTATATTTGATGAAATGATGTCTCCTCCTCTGGAAGATAAAACTGTTTGGAAAAAGATTGCCAGAGCAAAATTTGACTTGATAGTAGCTGATGAGAATATGTATGTTTCAAGGGTTATAGCTGCAAGTTTCAATATTCCATATATTCTCTATGAAAACTGGGGGCCAATGACTTTTAGTGCAAATCTTGTACAAAGATTTAATCTTGCTTATATTCCTGCTTTCGTCCAGCCTTACTCAGACACACTGTCATTCTGGGAAAGAGTGAGCAATGTTTGGGAGTTGTATAAGCTCCAAATCGTGAATGAGAAAACTTATAGTAGATGTATTATGATATGTAGAAAACTTGGATATGAAGATGCCTGTGATAACATAAGAGATGCGCACAAGACAGTCTCTTTGGTTTTCATGAACAGAAATGATGCACTGCACTATCCAGCACCATTCATGCCACATGTCATTTCTACTGAGGGATTTTTTCTGGAAAACCCAAAACCTTTGAGCCAACACTATGCAGATATCATTGAGAAAGCTGGAAAAAATGGGATTATTGTTGTCAGCTTTGGGTCACTGTTTCGTAGACTCTGGCCAGAACTTCGTACCATATTTGCCAAAGCGTTTGCCGCCATGCCACAAACTGTGATCTGGAGTTACGAAGGCCCTACACCAGAAGGCATTGGAAATAACACTATTGTTAGTAAATGGATACCCCAGGAAAGCCTATTGAATCACCCTGCAACTAAACTATTTGTGACACAGTGTGGAGTTTCATCCAGCTTTCAAGCTTTGCATTACGCCCTCCCTGTGGTTGGAGTACCATTCTTTTGGGATCAGCCTTTCTATTGCCAGAAACTGTCCGAAAGAGTCAAATCCGGTCAAACTGTCTCTTTGAAAGAAATCACCAGCGAGAAACTTCGACGAGCCATGATTGAGGTTTTAGAGAACAAGAAATACAAGGAGAATGCTGACAGAGCTGCTGCTATATACCATGATCAACCCATACCACCAAAGGACAAACTTGTCTACTGGGCTGAATATGTAATACGCCACAAAGGTGCACTGCATTTACGATCCCAAGGTGCTAATGAACTGAATTTCTTCCAATACTATTTGCTCGACATTATAGCGCTAGTGTGTTGTGTTTGCATTATGATTGGAACTGTTATGTTTATTATAGCCAAGAAAGCCATGTGTATTTTATTCTCTTTTAAGAAGGACAAATCTGACTGACAAAGAAATAATAATTAGACATTAAAATTGATGGCTTTGGCGCACAAGTCATGTCTCTTACAGGTTAAATTGAACCGTGAACAATGACTTTTATAAGTTAATTAGCTTTTGCTTTATAAAGAAAGTGTAATTTTTAATAACAGGGGTTTCACTAGAATTTCTCACAACAGGCTAAACAAATGTTAACAACAGGCAAAATTAATGGAAATCATAAATTTAACATGGAAAAGTTGAAAGGCTCTCAAAACAACAGGCAATTTTGTGAAAACAACCGGAGAAAATTGCCTGTTGCCTGCTGCTAATGAAACCCCTGAATAGGTAGTAAAAACTTTGTTAAATGTCATCTTATATTAGCTCAGTGATGTTTCAATAATTAACAACACATCTAAACCTATTCTTTCCTTAAACTAAATTTAACATAATCTTATGGTTAAGTTCAAACGTCAAGGCCAAAAATGTGACCTAATTTTATATTTCTAGATTAACAGTAGTATAAAGGTCCAAGTAAAGAATCAATTTGTACTTTTGACCTGTTAAACATTTTCAAGATTATTCAGATGTGTTGTTGGATTCTTAAATAGGAGAAATATTTGAAATCAGGGGATTCCATTACTTTTGACTAATATGTCAGGTCATGACATCTAAAGAGTCAATAAAAGATATCTAAAATGGATCAAGATGAATTTCAAATGTTAATTGAGAATTGTAAGGCATAGTTTTGCAATTTTTGAAAACAAATAAAAATGATGTCTATACTAGAATGCATAAAACAAAAACAGCTAGTTTTACTTCAATCTTGTTTATTTGTCCAATTCACAACTAGCAGATATAGGGAATAACAGAAAGAAACTTTTGTGTTAGGTCGACACATCAACCATTTTGTGCTGCTAAATAAACCATTGGTATAACACCCAACCATTGGTTTAACAAATCAAACCTAATTTTTAACAGTAAATGATATAAGTAATCAGATATATACAAGCAGTGTCTTTTGGCTAAAAATAAATAAATACTAGTGAAATTAACCCCAAATCGGGCATGAATTGCTGAGGTTATAGCCTAATTTTTTTTATTAAATAACTGTGGATATTTCCATCTGAACAGCCAATTTCCATTAACATCAGTTTTTGAAAATGACAGTCATTGTAACTTGGCAGTCATTACATCTGACTGACTGACTGACCTAGAAGAATTCCATCAGTAGAATTTCTAATAATAGATGGCAGAATGTTTTAAAAATACATCCCATTCCATACCAATTTGCAAAACGTTTGGCAAAATAAGGTTCCATGTCTTAAAATGGGATCTGATGTACAACTTCTTTACGAGTTGTAACTCTATCATTATTGTGTTTTCTACAAATATGGAGATGTCTTTCACTGTTCACTTTCACAAGTTATACAATAATGGGACATTTAACGCACTGTACATCAAATAAGTTGCACCTTACCCTTCCAATTAGAAACATAATCACAATGTAATTTACACAGCTTGCACAGAACCTAATCAGTTGTTGACACTAATCTACTCTTGCATCTGTAATAACTTTAGGTTGAACAGACAAGCAGTTTTCCTGGAATTCTGATGACAGGATTCATGAAAAATCCAAAAATGGCAGATTTATCAAAGAATTCAAAATGGCCACCATGTAATTTAGCCAGCATACCCCAAAAACCTCATCTGATTTGGGCACTGGTGTGCTTTTGCATCAGTGTAAAAATCTCAAGTTGAACAGATAAGTGATTTTCCAGGAATTTCATCAAGTAATTTACCCAGCATACTCAAAAGTTGCACTAGTCGCTCTTGCATCTGCAAAAATTTCTGGTTAAGGTAAGCAGTTTCCTGGAATTTTGATGACCAGATCTGATTTATGTGGCATCCGCCAGCTCACTGCTATCAGCACAAGATGACAGAAATCTAACAATTTTCCAAAGTGCGTTAAAAAATGCGTTAAATTACTGTCTTCAGGCAGCCAAATTGGATTTAACTTGAAACTATTTGGTAAATAATGAAATATCTGCAATGTTCTGTTAAATGCTTCTCCTTTGGGAATAGTAAATTTAAGAGAGATCTCGAAATTAACAGAAATTTCAATTTGGTCAATGGCCAATAATCATCTTTAAGGTCAGACAAAAGATTTATAAAAGTGTTAAAAGATAAACACTCAAAAAATACATGCAGTAATACTTATAACTTATCTCCATTGAACTTCCAACAGCGCGTATATATGTCAAATCTATGTCAAACAAAGTGTACAATAGAACCTGTTAGGTGGAACGTCTCTTTAAGTAGAACACCTTGAAAGTGGAACCCACTGACTTAATGTAAAATGAACCTGTAAAGGTGAAACAGTAAACATTGAACACATCATTATGAAAAATTAATGCATTAAAGTGGAACATTCAATTTTGAAAAATCATTTGAATAACCTTGTAAAGTGATTTCAGGGCAGGAAACAACACTGTAACTTGATAATAATTAGCAAATCGGGATTGCAAAAATCATAATTAATCAAACTGGATAAACCTCCTATTGTGATGTTCTGACTGGAAACAATTCACTTACACAGGTTTTACTTTATATGTGTCAAATAGTACATTAACTACTCTTAAGACATACTATCTTATGACATACTATCTTATGACATACCCTCTGGCCAAAAAATGTGTGACTCAATATGGAATGCCTATATAAGTTCAACATTTTAGTTTTAATTATTCAAAAAAGTATTATATTTGTATGTATCATTAAAATCAAAATCATTATAAAAAGTTGGGAGTAGCCTGAAAAATGAAACAATTTCTTTAATCCATATATTATCAGCTTCATTTTCATGTACATAAGCTACAATATATGGATGACAGTGTTGTACCGAATTCTTACAGAACATTCAATATTTTTCTTATCATGGTCAATTACAAATTGTGAAAGAAAAGAAAATGTAAGATTTGCATATGGATCAAAGGGTTATACATCATTTGTTTAAACCCATAACATCTTTTTGTGAGAATACAGGGGTTGAGATTATTACTGAGGAAGTGTCCCAACAACCTTTAACTCATCTTTCGGTATGGCTGCACCTTCTAAGTGATTTTTTGGAACTACGTGCAATGCAATCGCATACTATGCTTTTTCATACCCCCATTCTAAGAAATCTCTAGATAAATAAGCAAAAAACAGTTCTCTCTTCTTCGTCCACCTCTTTATTAAATATTTGACTTTGATATCACATGTCATACATACTAGTACAATGTTTTTGACTGCTCATTCTGCTGTCTTAATAATATCTTGAGAATTTGTCTAATGGAACTTTGTACAGTGTTTTAGGTGTTCTTGCTCAGAGGCCAGTAATTTCAGTCATCTAATTTTTATTTAATGTTTTAAGATTGCCTATTTTTCATTTTTAATTGAAATATTAAATGAGAAATATCTTGTTTGGAACTTTTTTCTGAATTTCTCATAAAATCTCAAGATCTCAAGACCTCAATGTCATCATCCATAGATTCTAGTTCATGCACATGAATGAATTGGGTTGATAGGATAGGAATTGTATTAGATGATGATGATGATGATGATGCTGCACAGATTTTTCTGACCAGAGGGTATATATTATCTGTTCACATTCAAAGAGTCATGTGTTGAACTAAACAGCAATCATTCACAAATTGTTTTTAGTACCACAGTAATATAGGATATTGCAAGATGGATTTCATTGGACTTTTGATATCAGTCGTACTGTGTTCCTCTCTTTGTGATTGTGGAAACATTTTTGTTATCCCAGAGGATTTCGGCTATAACAGCAGAATGAGGAATGTGATAAACATTGGAAGAGTTTTGCTGAATGCAGGACACAATGTAACCCTCTTGCTCTCTGACAAGATTGAACATGATGCAATGTTTAAATTAGGTGAGCCAAATAATATGGACAAAACATTCAATGTCATACATTTCAAAAAGCCACCTGTAGATCCATCCGAAGACATGAATTCTTTGAATCAGGAATTTATAAACAGTATGCTGGTGAAAGGTGTGGATGCTTTTGACAGTTTTGCACCAATATTTGATGAATTTATTTCCTTTCCTCTGGAAGATAAATCTCTTTGGAAAAATATTGCAAGTGCAAAGTTCGACTTGATAGTTAGTGATGAGAATGTGTATGTTTCAATGGTTGCAGCTGCAAGCTTCAATATTCCATTGATTCTCTATGTAAATTGGGGACCAATGACCATAGGTGCAAATCTTGTTCAAAGATTCAATCTTGCTTATGTTCCTGCTTTCTTGCAACCATACTCTGACATTATGTCTTTCTCAGAAAGAGTCAGCAATGTCTGGGAGTACTATAGACTTAAAGAAGTGAACAGGAAAATTTTCAGTAAATCTATTGCAATATGTAAAGAATTGGGTTATGGAGATGCCTGTGATAACATAGAGAATGCTGACAAAACTGTCTCTCTGGTCTTTATGAACAGAAATGACGCACTTCATTACCCACTTCCCTTAATGCCACATGTTATATCTATAGAGGGATTTTTCCTTGAAAATCCAAAGAATTTAGATCAACACTATGCCAACATTATTGAGAAAGCTGGAAAAAATGGGATAATTGTTGTCAGCTTTGGGTCACTGTTTCGTAGACTCTGGCCAGAACTTCGTACCATATTTGCCAAAGCATTTGCCGCCATGCCACAAACTGTGATATGGAGTTACGAAGGCCCTTCACCAGAAGGCATTGGAAATAATACTATCACAAGTAAATGGATACCCCAGGAAAGCCTATTGAACCAACCTGCAACTAAACTATTTGTGACACAGTGTGGAGCTTCATCAAGCTTTCAAGCTTTGCATTATGCCCTCCCTGTGGTTGGAGTACCATTCTTTTGGGATCAGCCTTTCTATTGCCAGAAACTGTCCGACAGAGTCAAATCTGGTCAAACTGTGTATTTGGAAGGAATCACCAGTGAGAAACTCCAACGAGCCATGGAGGAGGTTATAGAGAACAAGAAATACAAGGAGAATGCTGACAGAGCTGCTGCTATATACCATGATCAACCCATACCACCAAAGGACAAACTTGTTTACTGGGCTGAATATGTAATACGCCACAAAGGTGCACCACATTTACGATCCCAAGGTGCTAATGAACTGAATTTCTTCCAATACTATTTGCTCGACATTATAGCGCTAGTGTGTTGTGTTTGCATTATGATTGGAACTGTTATGTTTATTATAGCCAAGAAAGCAATTTGTTTCTTATTCTCTTACCAGAAGGACAAATATGATTAACAAAGTAATAATTACTAGACATTAAAATTGATGGCAATTTGGTGAACAAGTTACAGACTTTACAAGATGAATTGAACCATGAACAATGATTTCTATATTTCTGTGTAAAGAAAGCATTGTTAAATGTCATTTCATATTAGGTCATTGATATTTTATTTTTCTAGGTTAACAGTAATACAATGGTACTAGTAAAGAATCAATTTGTGCTTTTTGACATTTTCAAGGTTATCCAAACATATTTGGAATCAGAGGATCTCATACATTGAATAGGAAATGTAAGGCAGAGTGTATGTAATTTCTGGAAATAAATTGTGGTAGATCAACAGATCAACCATTATGCTGCAAGATAAGCCATGGGGATGACGTAGAATTTTGTCTTTGTTAGTGAGGAAT